TTGTAATTAAGCATGGGCAAACGTAAAAATAATCGTGAAAAGTGATAGCGACAGCGATCTACACTTATTAAAGTTTTTGTTTTTGGAAAATTTAATATTAATAAATAGTAAGACGTTGCATTTCTCATTTTTCTCTTTACTACCATACCACCATATAAGTCTAGTCAGCTTTTCAGTGTTTTTTGAGTCATTTCTACATTGCATTGCTTAAGTGCATAAAATATACATAATGGGTTAATAATAACGTAGCATAAGATATATGCTGATTTATCAAGAAACGAAAAAGAAAAAAATCTTATATATTTTCAAAATCAGAAGATAATAAGATTTACGTCGTAACAGGCAATTACGAAATACCTTGCATGTTTGAAGTACATACAGCATTAACTGATATCGCAAGTTCGGTTACTTTGTGATAAGGAATTACTATGCATTTTAATATAGTTTGGTACAAACTTTACCCTGAAGATACTGGTACAAACTTTTGCCTGAAGATACTTTATGGTATCTTCAGGCAAATAATGAATGCTCAACAGGATGATCAACAGCATTTGAATTAATGCTCGCTGCTTCGATAGTTCCTTTCTTCGATCATTAATTATAGTTATTTATAGTGTAGTTACGATGACTTAATTAGGTCAGTCATATAGGAAGATCTGAATACGATCTATCAAATAAAATAAATTCTTTTGTGCCAAAATTTTTTGTTAAGAATTTTCTCCCTTCTAGAGTTTATCTAGAAATGTTGTCAAATGCGTGCTATAATTTTATAAATTTAATAATAAAATGCACAAGTTTAAAAATAAATTTGCATTGGAGAATGATTAGATATTTCTTTTTAAATTGTATTAATTAGATAATTTTTTTTTAATTCTATAAACTAAATTCATTAAAAATATTCATGAACTTTAATAATTATAATTTACTAATATTCGTTTTATTAATTATTTATTCATTTTATTTTATTATTTATTTATTATATATATATATATATATGTATATAATTAAAATCATCAATAAAATTTCAACAATACTTCAGAATAATGTTGATTTTATAACACAGAAATGGATAAAGAATTTCTCAAAATATCAAAACATACTCTAACGTTTTTCTTAATTAATTTTGCTGTCATGTGTTTTCACTGAAAAAAGTTTTTTGACAATTTGCCTTGAAAATTGAATGCGACAAATTAAATGTTTGGTTAAATTTATACATGAATTAAAAAACTGAAACAACAAAAATATTACTGGGTAATAAATACTTCAATGCTAATTACTAATCGTGACGATAGACATGTTATTTTTATTAACAGAAAATTTTCTTGTCTTTCGTTAAAACACATGTAGATAATAAGAAAAGTTTAGATTCGAAAATGATTTTAATTTGTAAACTGTCGTAATAATATTGTATAAACCTAGCAATTAATTATTATTAATTTTTATATGTTTCGTTTAATTTGAAACAAAATAGACTAAACAAAATAGATATATTTTAATTTCAACTAACTTTAAGAATAAAAAACAGTTCGTGACCCAATGAACGAAAATGAATGTAAAATTCCTTTACTCTAAGATTTTACAAGACTTTAGAGTTATATCGAGCTTGCAGAACATTATTTTTTCTATAATTAATTTGATAAAATTGTTTCATTAAAATGAAGTGAATATATTTCGAAACTGTATCATTACTGAAATATGGTATTATTATTCACTAATCAGTAAATTCACGATACCAATGATTTATATACCCAAAGATCGTCTGTGCGTAACACCAGTTATAAATCTTTGTTGCTGTATTGCCTACAGTGATAGTTGTGCATATATTGATGCACAATTCCATCTTACTCTTATATGGTAATGTATCGTAACATGCAAAACGATTCAAGTTGATAAACGGAAACGTATTTTACAATAGGAACAAAAATATACGTATTACTCTCTAAATTCACTCGATCTCTCAAGAGCATCATCTCGAATCAAAGAAGTCGTTGTCGATCTCTGTATAGACAATAGAAAATCCAGTTTTCTGATTATCTTCCAGAAACGGACTAATCTCGCCGTGTAGGGCCGATTTACTTAAGGCACGCTCCTTCAATAATAATAAATTAACGATCGACAAATAACAAACGTTAATCTCGTCGGCGAGGCAAAGAGACGAAGGGAAAAGCTCGGGATTCGAAACAAACGTACGAAAGTGCAACGTAATTTTCGTTATCACGACTATTTCTGTACGGGTGGAGGTTCACAGGGAGATTCCTCAGGGTACGGGTGATCGTAACCGAAGAACAATCATGCAGTATTCTCCACGACACTAGCTGATCAACATACATTCATAGGTACGCGAGAAATCATCGAGCAAAATTTTTCAAAGGATAATGTTTCTGTTAGTAACTATTGCAACATATATACATATCCCGTAGAATCAAATGGAATTACGGATCTTCAGAAAACGATACCTCACGTCTTCTCTTTTGCTGAGTGATTGGAACTGATCGACACGGAATAGAAGTTTTTCTCTTTTCGCCGGCGTAGAACAAGAACGTTAATGAGAGATTTTTCACGACGTACGTTGACACGTGTCTACGGACTTTAGCGCGGAAGACATAGCGTGCGACAACGATCCCTTGATTCGTATTGCTCGTGGAGAAAGGAACGAGATGGCCAACAGTAAGTAAAAGTTTCTCAGCGAGCAGAACGCATGATTAAACAACGCGAAGATTGTCGCGTATCGCGTAATTAAAATATAGCATATGTGCACACGAGTGTACTGAAAAAGGAAGAGATCACAGCTTCTGCAACTGGATATTGGCACGATTGAGAAACTCACAGCAAAAATAATTTTTATTAAATAATTCCTTTCTGTCCCTTTGGATAACGTAATGTTGCAGATTTGGAAAATTACAAAAAGAATTGTATCTCGAGGGAGATGTATATGTATCATGAATATTTTGACTTATTGTGTGAAAACAATTTTGCCATGAAGTCTACAACTCTATGATTTAATTAGATATCTCTATGATTTACAATTACAACTTTCAATAAATTTTTTGTCTCTTTAGATAACGACTAGATTCAGTAGCTAAAGAATTACAAAAGAATTTATATCTTGGTAAAGGTATATATATTTAGACAAAAATGATTTGAACAAAAGCTTTTCCATGAGGCCCACAACTTCATAATCTAATTTATTTAGATATAATTTAATTAAATATAGTTACAGATGCATTTATGAGAATTGCATACTACATATAATGTATGTTTTTTTTTTTTTTTAAATTGAAGACTTCAGAGACAAACTGAATAAGTCATAATTTTCATTTTACCTAAAACAATTATTTCGCATTTCAGTAATTAATCTTATATTCATATCAAGATTATAAACATATATTTTTTTATCTTCTTCATAATTTAAGAAAATATTGTTCATCATAATATCGTCATAATATATTGAAATATTGAAAGATATTAAAATAGTATATTTTAAAATGTTATTTTTAACTGGACTTAACAGGATCATTCTATTGCATATTGAAATATTCCTTTTCAGTCATATCATTAATCATTCATTTAGCAATATTGAAATCAGTTATTTCTTTCTTAAGATTATTCCCTATAATCTTTAATTGAAACATATCGAAAAAATATGAAAAAAATCTGAATAATCGTTTTTCTTATAATCCTTCCAATTTCTAAGTCACTTATTTTCTTTCCATGAAATTACGTAATTATATGGAATATGTTAGATTGATTATGGGAGCGATAATTTGTAAATAATTTCAGATATCATATCTTTCAAAAAATATCAAAAAATATCAAAATGTTAACTGTGATTCCACTGTGATTAGAAATTTTATTTAATTTTAAATGTATAGTTGAAAAACTTACCAGTCATGAACTTTGTTTTGTTCACTAAGAGTTTAGTGTGATGACCAGTGTTATTGCCAAAAGATATTCTTCATTTTATTCTTATGTTTCATCGTCGTACAAGTACTTCTGATGTAACTGAATCAATAAAATGATTGACTCTTAACTTCAAATGCATATTTTTTACCTTGAAGTAAGATAATATTATAAATAAAACTTACTTTATATATTTTTGATTTGAATATTATGTCATTCTTCCTTTATACAAAAAGAAAAACTCTTTATACTGAAAACAGTAAAATACTTTCAAAAATGTCAATAAATTTGTAAATTAATTGTGGACACTTTCTTTTCTTCTTTTATATTTATTTCATTCTGCTCTAAAACTGATAATGACAAAATATTCGAACATTGATAGAAACTTTTTATGAATATATTATGTATGTTACATAAAACATTTTGATATTTTATTAACACTGTAGTAAGATTTGACTATCATAATTATACTTTAAAAATTATACAAAAATTGAATTTTAAAATAATTATTAGACTACGGATTTGTATGCAAAATTATATCTTTATGAAGCTAATTCAAAAATATTTGAACTCATCTATTAAATATTAGGATTAATACTCTGAACATTTTATATATTTTTCTGTTCTATATTTTTGCATCTTTAAATTTTCAATAAATGCATAAGAATTCGTAGTCTAATAATTATTCAATGCTATAAAACGAACGCGTTCAAATAAACTGTTACTATTGATTAAACGCATTCAAGGAAAGGAATTGTTATCATGCCGGGACGTGCTTTGGTTTCTTGTTTTCTGCGGTTTCGCTGTAAATTACATGCTGAGGATCAACCTGAATCTGACGATAGTAGCGATGGTAATGCCTCGGGCAAAAGTATCAACAAGTTCTCAGTGCATCAAAAATCTGTGGTCGCACATTCTGTACAACAGAACATACGATAGTTACAACAAAACAACACCTACTCCACCAATTCTGGAACAAGATGTAAACGTACGTATATTTTAATATATATAAGTTGTTCATTTGCCAAATTGATTAACTCCACAAAATAATAAATAGAGAAATTGAGATAAATAATATACATTCCTCTTTAAAATTGCTTTTAAAATATTGCACAATGTACTACTGTAAACGTAACTTTTATCTAACGATGTATAAATAATATATTCTTGGAATAATCACAAGCTTTCCAAGCTTCTGAAATAAATTATCCTATTATTCTATAGCCAAAATAAAATAAAAAATAAAATATCTAAACGGTTCAATGGTTTATCTTAAAATTTGTAACTTTTCATATAAAGATGTTCATTACTTTTAATGAAATTTTCACAAAATAATAAAATAAAAAATAAAATACTTAAACGGTTCAATGGTTTGTCTTAAAATTTGTAATTTTTCATATGAAGATGTTCATTACTCTTGATGAAAGAATTTTCTATGATTTCTTTCCGAAATAAAGTTTCTAATTGTATCCTTTCAAAACACCATTTATTCAAAAGCAACTATTGTTTAGTGAAAAAATAAAAGTATTTTTATCCAAACTTTGGTCATTAAAAAAAAGTTTAAAAATTTAGTTCACTTTCTACAATTTTGATAGATAAATTGTATTGACAACATACTAATGCCTTAATCCTAATTTTAATCGTACTATTGAGTTTCAAAATTGTTCTTAGTACGATGACCGATTCCCTTGGAGCGAGAATCAGCAAGGGTTAATTTTAGGAGCTTACTACTGGTTGCATTGGGCAACGCAACTTCCTGGAGGTCTTTTAGCAAGACGTTATGGCACGAAACTTGTTTATGGTTTAGGAAACTTTCTAACAGCGCTTTTTGGCTTTCTCATCCCACTTATGACACATTATCATCTGTATGCTCTTGTAACGCTACGAGTTCTTCAAGGTCTATTCGCGGTGAGCCATATTTTAATTTTTCCATAGATAATGTTCACAAAGAAGTTCGGGCTATTACAGTTAAACTATAATTTCCATAATTTCCAAACTTATTTGTCGTTCAACTGAAAAATGTTGAAAAAAAAGTATTTGACTAAAGATATTTGTCTAGGGTGTTGTATGGCCTTCTATGCACAACATGACTGCCAAATGGATCCCTCAAAATGAGAGAAGCAGATTTGTCAGTTCCTATTTGGGTAAAGTATCTACAATGATAATATACATACATTCGATAACTATAAATATTATATATGTTTTTAATTTAAAGCAAAATATCTACTATCTTGAGATGAACTTTTATCTAATGAGAAAATGAAGATCTTTTCGAGAACAAAACTTTCTACTAAAAATTATTATTACATCTACTCTAGGTTTTTGTTTTACTTTTATATGCGAAGAACTATCTACTTTAATTTATATCAAGATTATTTATATACTCCGTGTATAATTCTAGTATCAACTAATTTCAATTATTAAATCTGAAATGATCTTAATTGATAATCAATATTGAGACATTAAGAGAAAAAGTGGATTAAGCCACACTTTTTCAATAATTTGAAATAGCATTGATAATTTGTTTTATATTTTATTTGCAATTCATTCTCTCAAAATTAAACCTATATAACATGAAATTAATCTTAATATTTTACTTTCACATCTACTTTAGACAGTTCGCTGTTTGCTAATTTTGCATTTGCTCAATTTGTTTGAGTTTTAAGATTAATTTTAAGACTTTTGCTCTCAATTAATTACGTATATTGTAATGATCAAGTGATTCATATCCGAGAATTGCTAATGATTTTAATTAAATTACAACAGGTTTCTAAATATGTTTATCTTTTTCAGGTAGTTCTGTGGGTACTGCTATAACTTACCCCCTCTGTGCAATTGTCAGCAGTACATTCGGCTGGGGTGCAGCTTTTTACGTAACTTCGTTACTTGGTGTCATCTGGTAATCATCTTAATGTTTTTTTAATTGAAAATAATATTTTTAAAATATTGAAAATCCTCAGTTTATTTGTCACTTATAAAATTAAAAGGTGTCAAATTTATATTTACCAAAATACTATGTAATATCTACGTTCCGTATTACATGTATATAATTAGTTTTTACTGCAAGAAAGAATCATTTCGAAGGTACTGTTTCTGGCTGTTGCTCATACACGATTCACCTCAGCAACATCCTCGGATATCCGACGAAGAAAAAAAATATATTTTGGATCATCTTGGTGATTCAGTCGACGAGGGGCAAACTGCCATACCTTGGAAAGAAATATTGACATCAGGTCCAGTTTGGATTACAATCATATCGCAATGGGGTGGAGCGTGGGGTTTTCTCACCTTAATGACTCAAGCACCAACTTACTTCAACTTTATCCATGGATGGGATATCAATGCGGTAAAAATATATCCTGTGAAAAATAATTTCCAGATTTTCTTGTTCTTCCTTTACTGCTATTTTTAGTTTCACTGAAATACAATTTGTTAAACCAATTAGAAAGTATAAAAAATTGCAAATTTATTCCAATTTATTGAAACTCCAAATACTTTAAAATTCTATTAGTAAAACCACTACAGTAATTTTATATTTT